TTGGGCATAACCCAAACTTTAAAAAATCATATAAAATCAACAAGAACCCCGATTAGAATGATTCTAACTCCTAGTGAAAGCTTAGAATATGTACTAAAAGTTTATGTTGATTATATTTTCACATAGCTACATTAAGATCACCAATAATAGCCAAACATCATGATCCACAATTCTTCCCGGAATTACAAAAACTGCTTGTAGGTACAACTTCAAAAATTCATAATACATTCAATTCAACTCCATATCACGAAATTCCAATACTCACATAAACTTAACTCAAAACAGTACAACATTCATGCAGAACACTTGACCAGAAACAACTACTTGGTTATGAAAAATTGAGCACAACCACCGGCTCTAACATGAAATTTTAATTCAATTTCAGCACAAATCATATATTCATGTACATAACGTCGAGATCACATAAACACGCCGTATATCATAAACACATTCATAAAAAATATAGAAAGTTATCAACCCTTTACCATTCTCAGGAATACGTACGATAAACGAGCTACGGGACCGAATGGGGCTTGAAAGATAAACGAACTACAGGACCGAACGGGGCTAATATGCGCGCTCGGCAACAAGGGGTGGATCGCGCGAGCGTCTTGCGGGACTGCTTGGCAGCGACGACACTTACGATCACGCGAATAACGATGGTGATGGGCGCACGACGGGAACAACGGGTAGCAATCGGTACGCCGGCGGTAGCATTCGAAAGCTTGGGTGATCTAATGTGATTTTGCTCAGTTTTCTACGAGAGTTGTGTGAAGAAAAAGTTCATATTATTTCAACGATAATGGGGCTAAAAGACGTGAGATATAGAGAGTGAAAAGGAGAGACAATAACTTCTCACTAGGTAGGTAATTAAAGGTTTGAATCTATACTTATATTAAAAGTTATACTATTTACTAAATGTAGTATGTAGAATAGTCAACTATAATTAATGATTTGCTATTTTTATCAAGCATTTAATTAATGTATCTAATATTTTTAGTATGCAAATCAAATTAGCGTTTAATTAGTTCCTAAAATATTTGGTATGCAATATTAATTTAGGAATATCCATGTAGTTCCAAATATGTTGGTATGAAATACGTAAAAAAACGTTTTTTAAATTTTTTAAATATAAAATATTGCAACACGTAAAACTATTCCAGTTATTTTTTATTTTTTTTACATATAAAATCTAATCAATATTTAATGCATCTTACAAAATTGAATTTAGTTAAAAAAAACTGATCGCATAGATATGGACGAGTTTAAGAAAATTTCATAACTCAACTTATAAAATTACATTTCCACGAGTAAAAAAAATCACATCCCTCATCTATCTTAACAACTTTAAAGGTAAATATATAAAAGTCTAATTACTACTATAAATCCATTATCTATATAGATTTTTTAAAAATCTAAATTTCACCTGTCTAATTACTAATATTTTAGATACTTTTAAATATTATTTATATAAATTTTTTTACACATTTGCTCTCTCTCTATATATACATATATGGAGGTTAATAGAAAAATTTTTAGACATATTTTCCTTACGGGTAGTTTAGAAAAAATTAGGTAGCTTCAAACATTATTTGTGAATAATATAAAATATTTTAGATGCTTTTATAGATGTTATAAAGTATTTTTAAGTATTTTTAATATTTATATATCACACTTAAAAAGAATATTTTGAAAAAAAAAATTAAATACACATTGTAAATGTTAATAGAAATAGTCTTCAGTGTTCGTCTTTGATTTTGTCAAAACAAATCTCATAAAATCGGTGAAATCGAAATTTGTACGTAAAGTCTATCTATACTAAAAAAAGTATATTCAAAATTCTTTATCTAATTTCTTCTTTTCCTTATCTAATTCATTCTTATTATCTAATTGTATAGAAATCTGTTCTGATTTTGTTCAATCCTCTAATTGTATTTGTATTATATCCCATAAAATCAGTTTAACAAAAAAAATTCCCATAACCTCCGATAAGTAAAAAAAAGTACGTAATTTTTTTACCTAAAATAAAAAAGGCTTTATTTATTATTTAATTTATTATCTAATTGTATGAAAATTTGTTCTGATTTTATAGTACGTACTACAAATTGTGCACCCGTGTTCAGGAGCTATTTAACGGGCAAGCTCTGTGGAAATAACTCATTTAGTGCTTCTGTCCCGTGCATACGGTATGTATTTGTATTACACATACTAGAAAAATGTGCACCTCGTGCATCGCACGGACTCTGTACTAATAATTGACCTTAAAATTGTGCACCTCGTGCATCACATGTGTTCACATCTATTACAGGTCACGTACTATATATATCCCGTACATTTATCTTTATTCATTTATATAATTATAAGACTTGATATATGACCTTAATTTTGTGCACCCCGTGTATCGCACGGGATCCGTACTAGTATATATTAAAGAGGACACTAATTGAGTATTGATGAGGGGAAAGAAAACCGAATAAAGGGTGAAAGGAATTTGATCTAGCTTTCCACAAATTGCCTTAATTAGCATTAGTACTCTTGAATATTTGAACTTCAAATTCAAAATCAAAGGGACAAGATAGCGGGCTTGATTTCGGCTTAGACCATAAGAACCCGTTTTTCCTCGATTTACCCAAGACCGACAGCCACCTAATAAGGGGTTGGTCGAGTCGTTTCGAGCCTCGATATGCAAAAGATAATAATAAAAAAAACGGACAACAATTCGGCTTACGCGATCAAATCGAAATTTCAAACGGCGAACGATAAAATAAAATCGTTCGACTTAAATTATTATATTATCCACAATATAATATAATTTTAAGCACACAATAATATATATACAACTCAAGCAATAATCTCACTTAGGCAATTAAACCAAATAATAATAATAATAATGTCAATATATTAATATTCGAAAATTTTAATAATCGAACGGGGCGTTACATCTGCATTCGTAAAAATTGTTGCGCCAAGTCTGATTTATGCCTTTTAATATAATATTATTGATAAATTTAGGTATATGTGTATTAATAAATGTATTTATTATGATAAATAATTTTGGATTTTTTATTTACTAATGTATTATAATTTTATTTTGGAATTTTTATTATTTGTAATAAAATATTGTAATATTGTTGTAATATTGTTGATATAATTTTATTTTGTAGTAGTATTTTATTAATTATAAAATGATAATAATATAAATAATTGAAATGTGTAAAACAATATATTGTAAAATTAAAATTATTTAAAATAATAAAAAGAAAGAAAGAAAATATATTGTGGAGTAAAATGTAGCTCGAACAGTTGGAGAAAAAAACTTAACTCTACTCTAAAGTAGAGTAATTTCTGCACTAGAGTAGAGATGTGGGCTGAAGATGGCCTAAATGCAAGCCAGAGTCACGCTAGTTATTACCAACGAAAATTGCAGGTTATTACCAACTATGGGCGGAGCCATAGCTAGCGTGGGCTCCAGCTCCATGTCCCAAGAAAAAGAAAATTGTTAACCTTAATTTTTAAAGAATTTCATACATATACCCATTAACCCCATGTGATTTTTTTATGTAGCCCCATTTGATTTTGAGCCGAATGCCTCAAGATTCAGGACAAAAATTTTTATTTGACAACAATGGTGGAAAAATGATAATTGTAGTGAAAAAAAAAAAAGTAATCGTTTATTGTAAAATGACAATTTTAACCTTAGTAGATTTTTATCAGTTGGGTTTATAATGTGGCCCAACAAACTCTTGTCTTTTAAATTTTTAATAAGTTGACTTGACGAATATCAAATGAGTTAGATAATTAAGTTTGACACAGACTTCTCCAATGGGCTATTTAATTGGGTTCGTCTCATTCCACAGTCTGTTATCCATTTTCATTTATTTATTTATCTTTTTGTTGGTTTCACCTCCAATAATTAATTCGGCATCATTTCTTAGACAATGAGAAAACTCGTTCAGAGTTGATTGCAAACATGTTCGACTCTATTTGTTTGGTCGACAATTTCAATTAGATATTGAGTTTGACTTGTTTAAATCTATACGCGATTCGAGATTGAGTTTGCTCAATTCAAACCGACATATGTTAACAGATAATTTGGTTCTAATCATGACCAAAATCGGATACAATTCGAAACCGCCAATATCAGGCCGAGAGTTGGAAGACCCTGAACCGGCGTGAACATATGTACGGGCCGGTTCATTGAACTGTCGATTATTGGTGTCCGGTTTATTAAAAAAATAAAAAATAGAAAAAAATAATATATTTTTTTTAAATGCCAAACCTCTGGTTCTGGTTTCAGTTCGGAACCAAATCTGTGTGTTCAAAAAATTTTACTATTAAGAATTGTACATAAACCGAATTGGTCAAACCAATGGCCGGTTCAAGACTCATGGTCAACGAGCCGCTTTGTGTCGGTTCGTGTCGAACAGACAAGCTGGGTCGGCCTATGATCATGTCTACTGTGTTTCAATAACAACTACAATAATATGCAACCCGGTTAAAAAACTTTCTGACTACGCAACAAAAATTTCAGGAATGAGATCATTGCAATAATAGTGTAAAGATTATAAATTCGATTCAACATGCTTTTGGAACAATAAAATTATATAATAATTAATATATGAATACAACAAAAAAAATATTGCAGGTTATTTTTTTTTGGTACATCAACCTTTCGGTTTTCGGATTCATATGAAACCGACTAATCCGGAATCGAGTCGAGTAGGACCACAAGGACGGCAAAAAGCTCTCCCTCAAGAGTTTTAAGATGCACGTTATTTTAAGATGCATGTTTCTCAAATTATATTGGTCATAGGAAAGATATATATTCCTGAAAACAACTTTATAATTTTGGTGCTAATCAATTAGAAAAACAAGTCAAGAGAAAGATCAAACAAAACACAGCTACGTACGATAATCTGATAAACAAAAGCAAAGACAGAAACAAGACAAGAATGAGGAGGGACTCGATCCACAGAGATCATTTATTATTCATTATTGTTTTACACATATGGAGCCGGGTCGCGCAAGCCCTTGACGATGCCGCAGATCTGCTGGTTCGGGGGCAGGTTGTACTCATCCCTCAATGAGAAATTGGGTGACAGCACGCTCACGTATGCCTGTTGTCCCAGGTACGACCTCTCGGCCATGTCCGACCTGAGGTTCCACAGGCCGGCATTGTCAAGCGTGGTCATGACTGCGGCCCACGACTGGGGATAAACATGGATGGTGTGCCTGCTCACCGCATCCAGGAGGTTGTAGTTCTTCCTCTTCTCGGGGGTCCACCTCCCGGGCTCGATGGCCACAGCGAAGAACGAGTAGCCGTCCAGGTGCCACGTCTGGATCGTGTTCTCCGTGTTCTCGAACACAATCTCCACAAAGTTGCGGTGGGTGGCGTTGATCACGCTGGGGGCCACGACGATGGGGCTGTTCCCCACCGGGGGCTCGTCTTTCACGAGGTTGTAGGAGAAGACCTTGTCGGCCAGCCCGAAGTACTCGACCAGCTTGAGCGGGGTCTCGCTGTCGACGTGGGACACGCCGTTGATGGCGAAGCGGAGCTTGCCGTTGACTTGGGCGCGGGAGTTGGCGATCTTGATTGTGCGCGTGATGTTGATCTTTCCGTAGTGGTATGAGCCCTGTGGGTTGGGGCGGGCGGCGCTGGCAGTCAGGTTCCACCTGAAGGATCGGAATTGGTTCACGGACCAGGCGATGCCGGCGGTGCCCTCGGGGGGAGGCAGAGGGAGAGCGGGGGAGGCGGGGCCCTTGCCGTTAGCGTAGCGAACGACACCCACGGAGACGAGCGGCTTCTTCAGGAACCGACTGGAGGCGACAAAGTAGTAGTCCTTCGGGGCCTGGTCGGCGGTGACGAGGACGGACATGCACTGGCCGACGTGGAGGTCGAGGGAGTCATACAAGTTTTGGACGGTGTGTGACCCCTCCATCTCCACGAGCTTCAAGGTGTGGCCTTGGAGGCGGAAGTTGATCGAGGCCTTGATCCCGACATTGCAGACGCGGAAGCGGTAGGTCTTGCCGGGCTCAACGGTCGCGAGAGGCTCGGCCGGGGCGGGGTTGCCAGCGTTGGCGGACTTGCCGTTGATGTGGATGCCATCGGGGAGGCCGATGCTCTTGCCGGCGTCGAGGACACGCTTGAGGGTCTTGTGGCCCTTGTTGTACCAGTCGCCGAGGAGGACCGCGAAATCGTTGGCCGGCCAGTCGAAGGGGACAGGGATGAGGTCGCGGCTGTGGACCTGGAGCATTCCCATGCCGCCGGCCGCGCGGTGGAGGGCGGTCGTGGGGTAGTAGAAATAGCTGCCGATCTGGTCCTTAACCTGGAACTTGTAGGTGTAGTTGGTGCCAGGCATGATGGGGCACATGGTGCCCAGGGTTCCGTCCTGCCACGAGTTCTTGCGGTGCTGGACCCCTGCCCATGTGAGGAGGAAGGGCTCGTCCAGGTTGTTGAACACATTGACCACGATGTTGTTGTTGGAGGTGCAGTTGATCTTGGGGCCCGGGAACTGGCCGTTGATGAGGATACCCTGCTGAGGGACGCCGAGAGGGGAGATGGTCCCGTACGTTACGTGCCACTCGAAGAAGAGGTAGGGATCCTCCGCCAGAGCCTGCATGGAGAGGCAGAGCAACATCGCCACAAACATCATCTTTTTGGATGCCATGGCTTTTGCACTCTGCGCTCTCGCCTTATTTTACTTTCAAACTGACTTGATTTATTCCTTTTTATCCTTATTATTGTTATTATTTCTTTCTTGCTTGTCTAGTTCATGTTTCCTTCTGATGAAGCCTTTTTATACTAAGGGAAGGTTTGAGTGTGTTGAGTTGGTTATCACAATTAACGGTCAGAGGTCGCTCCTTTTGTGGACTTCCTCTAATGCTCCTAGTTCAAAGGTCTCTTCGTTTGTGGTGATCATTCAATAATGCGTACGGGAAATAACTCATTTTTGGGTACATTAATTATTGTGTTCAAAAGTAAATAATAATCATGAAACCAATTTAATTATTAATCATCGCAAGTCATAACATCGTATCCATGCATCTTATGTATGTTTTCAAATTTACTTGTGGTTTACCGGCATTTACGTGTGATAGTAAAGTGCACGTGTGCGATTAACGTCATACATGATTTATAATTTTATTTTATTTTGAATTATATTTCTCTTTTATGTTTTGTGGTCTATTCAATTTTTTACATTATTATTTCTCTAATAATCAAACAATAGAAGTGCATTGCCAATGAACTGGAGCATTTCTCTAATTATACTTCTATTTTCGAAATGCATTGCCAATGATCATGGTGAAAAAAATTGCATAAACATTTTAGTTGAAAAACCTTCACTATCTAAGTTAATCTTGTTTATTCAAAATCTTTTTGTTTGAAGAAGATTGAGAAATATAAACAGTAAAACTAAATTTATATTTTTTGTAATCTATATATATAAAAAAAAGTTGATGGAAAAATCAGAAATATAAACTTTAAATAATTGTGAATAACTGTTTTTTTTCTTACATCATAAATCATGTATTCATATTTTCTGTTAGATTGTTGAATTAGCGGGAATTATCTTGATCACGCGCCTATTAAAGATCACTAGCACCATTATTTTCCGCATATTTGTTTATATATTAAATAAATATAATTAACATTCCATGATTGTTATATTTGTATATAATTACCGGCGTTTATAATTTAAGGTGATTTCAAAATCTGTTGTTGCATTGCAAAAATCACGGGATTGAATATCTATCCGATTACAATCTATAATTATCTTAAATCATTTTTTTGTTAATAAAAACAATATCTTTCCAATGATTTTCGGTCGATACAAACGTTCATAAAGAAATTGTACAAAAAGGATCACTAGCACCATTATTTCTTCACATCATAAAAGGATCACTAGCACCACTAACAAAATAAAGTAGAAAATATAAAAAAAAAAAATCACAAAAATTTAGAGAGTGCATATTGTAGGATTTTGG